TGTGATGAAATATATGACGAATAGCTCTCAAATATGTGACGAAAATGTTTCTTCAACTGAATGAAGACTGAAGGATCGAAAATAAAGTTTCGGGAATAAGCCACCCGGCAGTTCAAGGAGTTAGCATTGTACCAGGAAGATCCCGGGTTCGAATACCACTTAGGGTATGAGTGTAATTTATCTCTCTGTTCTATATTCCTTTTTTATGTTATTGGAGGGACTTGATCCTCTTATTTGGTGCCCCTGATAAAGCAATCAGAAGAAATTTTTGTACATTAGGCACTATGAGGAATTTTTTCTTCTTTTTTTTTGGAAAAAATAGAATGATGAAATGTTTCTTTAATTTTTTCGAAATTCGTTTCCTCGAAGAAATAACGATAGTTATTTGGTTACTTTGACGAAATTTCTGTTCGGGGTGCATACCAGGAAACGGTTTCGTCAAAAACAAAGAAAGAAAATAGAATGGCAAAATGTTGTCGAAATTCGTTTCCTCGATGAAGTAACGATAGTTATTTGGTCAGTTTGACGAAATTTCGGCTCGGGACGCATACCAGGAAACGGTTTTGTCAAAAACAAAGAAAGAAAATAGAATTGCGAAATGTTATCAAAATTTGTTTCCTCAAGGAAGTGAGGATAGTTATTCAGTTTAACGAAATTTCTGTTCGGAGCGTATACCCGGACACGATTTTGTAAAAAGCTGAAAATCGAAAATTGAATGACGAAATGTTTCCTTAATTTTATCGAAATTCATTTCCTCGTAGAAACGATATGATAGTTATTAGGACCGTTTGGCGAAATTTCTGCTCGGGGCGTATACCAGGAAACGGTTTCGTCAAAAACAAAGAAAGAAAGTAGAATAGCGAAATGTTGTCGAAATTTGTTTCCTCGATGAAGTGACGATAGTTATTTGGTCAGTTTGACGAAATTTCCACTGGGAGCTTATACCAGAAGACGATTTTGTCAAAATTTAAAAATAAAAAATTAAATGACGAAATGTTTCCATAATTTTAACGAAATTTGTTTCCTCGTAGAAACGATGATAGTTATTTGGGCCGTTTGACGAAATTTCTGCTCGGGGAGTATTGCAGGAAACGGTGTCGTCAAAAACGAAGAAATTTTCGTGACATTTGAGTATCCATTTTTTAAAGAGTATTTATTAACTAATTGCAAAACTGAAATCCAAACTAAAATGCTAGCTATTTCAAACCATTTAAAATCCTTTAACTCTCTATGCATATCAAGAATTGAAAATCCACGAAGAAGAAACTCTTCATCTGAATATTCATCTTTTTGCCACATGTTTCTTCCTGGGTTAAAAAAAAATGTTTGCTGCTGAGTTAATTTTAGTCTCCAGGTCATCAAAACTGCAGTTGTAAGATTAACGGTGCCAGCTGTTTTCCTTTACATATATGTATTTTTTTTCCTATGGCACCAGCGTCGGCGTTCTTTTCGAAGGTTGGAATTTATTCTCAAGGTTTTTAATGAATGCAAATCAAAGGGTTCTAAAATTCGTTTGTAGATATGTAAACATCTTTATTTGCAATTTAAGTAGCCAAACGGAAACAATTTATAATGTAATATCATAATTTTGTATATCTATAGTATAGTGCAGCTGTTCCTAAATGGTGTTCCACGGAACTCTAGGGGTTCCGTAGAAAGGTAAAAGGGGTTCCGAAAATTAGAACCTTTGTTTACCTCACAGTAATGGTTTCTGAAACCTTATTTATATTTAGACCTAATTGGTAATCTATTGTTTATTGATTAGTTCAGTTGTCTTTATGAAATTATTTTAAGTAAAATGCTAATGAAAATAAATATAAATTTTTTGTTTAAAAATATGTTATTTCTCTAATAGCAATATCTAGTCTAGAACATATTATGAAAAGATCCTTCATTTATGAAAAATTGTATTAATATTTCCCATCGCGCTTTTCAGATAAAAATAAATTAACTGTATTCGTTAATAGGGAAACATGTTTTATTGCTAACCGTTTTCTACCTTTATCGGTACTGATAAGTTCAATTCCGACTTCTTACGCTATATGATAATTCTCACATTACGTCAGTACTCAAGAATCTGTGCTAATAAGTTTAATTCCAACTTCTTATGCTCGATAGAATTTTCATTTTTTTTCTTTTTAAATTAATATTGTAATTACTAAGTTTCAAATTAAATATTTCTATTTTTGCGTAATTAGAATTAAAGATATTTCATTTACAATTACTATAACACAGTTAATTTTCTTATAATTTAACCATTTTTTTTAAAGTAAAAGTTAAATTGATAAATGCAAAAATCTTTTTCGCAATATACCATTAAAAATTGCCATAATATTCATTCGAGAAATATTTATGTTCACCTAATTATAAATGTATATCTATAAAATTTATAGTATAGAAAACTTCCTTTCCTAAAACCTAAGAGACCTAACATTTACCTACTAGTTGCCCAGAAATTCTATAGAATGATGACAAATATGAACAATCAAACGAGTCAAATTTCAAAGCTGACTGTGTGTTTTTTCTCTTTTTTAATAATTCACTCTTGTAAAATACCTAGCCGTCAACAAGAAAGGGAGGTTTTAAAGGTAAATGTAGATAAATGTAAATATCCTCTTCTTCCTGCATTTCAGGGACATTTGTGAAATTCACCTTCAATCAACCTAGTGGAAATTGAAAAGAATACAAAACACTTTTTTTTCTTCTCATTTTTCACATTCATACAAATTCACTGCGATCGTCAGGATGTAACAAAAACCTTCTTTTTTTTTCAGTTTTCCTACTTGTTTTTGATAAGCATCGCGTATACCTTCTTTGTTAAAACGTGTTTCTCATTGGGATGTGGAAAAAAAAGGAAAATGTGTGTAGGGGTGGGATACAAGCACTTTTGTTTTCTGTGGGAATTTCATTATGCTCGCTTCCTCTATTTCAATATCCCATAGTAGTTCAGTAGGTTATTGTAGTATGTGTTATTCTTTTTATAATCATTACATGCCAAAAGTAAAATTCTAGACAGGGTATTTATAGATTGGTAAAAAATCACTATTGAAAATTAAAATCTATAAATCGTTCATTTTGACAATATTTATATATTAACGTATCTAAATGTATTAAGCTGTACAACTCAACTACTATGGTGTATGAAGGATATATTTTTTTATTTTATAACCGTCGTTGAACAGCCGAACCAATTTTGGGTTTAAGGCTACCAATGTTCAACTCCGTAGCCTTGTAATGTTGAACCCAATCCAGAAGACAAGGGAACTCATGGATCAAGTATTGGGAGAATTTTGCCATCGTGGAGGACTTTTTGATGGAGCGAACCCGCATTTGCCTTACTTGGAAAGGAAAACCACGAAAATATCCCATGTTCAGCCTGGGTAACCCATGATCCGTTTACCACTGAGGATATTTTACGTCAGCACTGTGGTCGATGCGAGACGGATGCGGAATTCCTATCTACCAGTCATCACTGAGGTTCGAACCCGGTTCACCTCATTGAAAGGCGAACGTCCTATCCCCTGAGCCACCACGACTCGTATAAAGGATATCAAAATAAAAATATAGCTACAACTGTAAAGGGTTATGTTAATTGTGAAAGTTTCACTATGCAATGTGATTAAGCATAAAAATGAGTCAGCTGATCAACGGCCGGTTATAAAATAAAATATGCAATGTGGAAGAGCCGCGGTGGCTCAGCGGGTGAAAAGCTCGCATCCCACTCAGATATGTCAGGTTCAAATCTCAGCGATGTCCAGCCGATTCGAATTCTGCTTCTGGCTGTCAACCACCACAGTACTAACATAAACAATGCTCAGAAGCAGACGAGTCATGGCTCAGAATTCCCTACCATCGGGCTAACCCCGGGAGATTTTTGTGGTTTTTCTTCTCCATGTAAAGTAAATGCGGATTAGTTTCATCAAAAAGTCTTTCGTAAAGGCTGATTTGTCCCACTGCTTGATCCAGGAGTTCCCTTGTATTCGGCATTGGTTTAAAAATTACAAGGCTACGAAGAGGAACATTGATAGTAGAAAACTCTGAAACTGTGTCAGCTGTTCAACGCCGGTTGTAAAATAAAATAAAATACAATCTAAGGTCGTAAAGCATAGAACAGGAAGTAAGGGCGCACATGCTTGGTAAAAATGGAGAGTACAATAAAGACGAATAAAAGGATGATTCTTGAAAACTTTACAACGAAAATGTAACCACTAGCTGAAAAGCAGGCCCTCTCGCAGCTCGCCATTTATTTTGCGACCCCACACTGAGTTGAGAAAGTTGTCTGTTTTGGCAAGTCATACCCTCCTTTATATTTCTAAACATTAATTTTATTACTTATTGTATTTTCGTTATTTTGCTGCTTGAAATGGTATGGTAAAAAATACTCAAAATTTAGAGAGACCATTTTGCTCTTCTTTTCTTTATATATTTTGTAAGTAACACTGATTTATAGGTTGTAACTAACAGTCGCCACCTGCCATCGGGCGACTAATTATCATCTGCCTGTCGTCACCCGATCGCCACTTATTTTGTCGAAAATGTACCATGTGTGCCTTAACATTATATCATTTAATAGATACGTAAATCTTATGAATATTTTATAATATTCTGAATATTACTTTGTTTCACGCTTGTTTCTTAAAATGCTTCTTTACTTTCGAAATTCGAAATAGATGTCCATATTTTGATACTTTTAAAAAAATCACACTAAATATCAAAAGTTTTTTTTTTTCCTTAGTCGTTTAAAATTTTGAGTTGTTGGAAGAGCCTCATGTTTTAAGAAATGGCCAATATTAAAGAAGCTACAACTGACCACAGGCCCCTAGCAAAATTTTCTAATTTTGCCTCATATTTATTTAATATGTAGGAAAATATGTTTATGGTTTTAGAAAATTTATTTCTATCACATTTTAATATTTTTTACTTAAGTAGTTTCATGTATTTCATATGTAATTTAAAAATCTTATTGCAATTTCACTTGCAATTTTTTTTCTTCTTTCCAGAGCTGTCCACCTGAAGAAATATACTCAGTTCGAAATCTACCACCTCGCATGGAAGGCGGTCACACTCCTGCCTCGGCACCTACAGGCGAGGTCATCCCTGTGGTGCAGAGCCGGAGTGCCAGTGGTGCCAGTGCCACCTCGGCTGCAGCCCGATCTCTCTCCATGAATTCCGTGAGCAGCGAGGGTTCAGCTGAAAGCCATGTTGTGGAGCAGGAAGATATAATCGTTCTCACGCATGATGTCAGGAGTTTCAAAGAAGCTCTAGGAAAACTTAGAAGAATATTCCATCCAGAAAGAGGTAATGCAATCACTCGTCGTTATATGCATTGCTTCATATAAATGCTTCCTCTAGTGGGCAAGATAATATTTTATACTTTTAAATTTAAATCTACAGCCTAAATAAACTCAAAAAACCTCGAAACATATTTTGTTTTACTGGTACCACCACCCCCCAGCAGTTTGGTGACAAGTTTATGGATTACTTTTTTTAGACTATCCAAGCATAAATCTACAGCATAAATAAACTCAAAACATTATTTTGCAAGGAATATACATAGGGACGAAATCTAGTTTTTATTGACATAATGTTAACTGGTCCCTCAAGCTTAGGTGTGGTCCTTGTGTATAAAGTAAAATATAACATTTAGGGTACAACAGCACCTAGGTTTTCTTCCTCATGTACAGAATGTGGGTTAGTTCTAACAAGAATTCCTCTACAATGGGAAATTTCTCAAAATACTTGATCCAAGGTCGGGACAGCCTTGTTGGTAGGGCATTGAACCCATGTCCAAGGGTTCGTGGGTTCGAGCCCCGCCGGCCGTGTAGTAAATGATGACTGATGCAAGTTAAATCTGTCGAGTCGCAAAGCCCTCTATGTTCTCATAATAAATGAATACCTCTGGGGATACTGATCCAGGAGTTCCCTTCTCTTCTGGATTAGGTTCGAAATTAAAAGGCTTCGGAGTTGAACAGTAGTAGTCGTAGACTCGAAATTGGGTCGGCTGTTCAACGATGGTTAACCACTAAACGGTTAACCATAAAAACCATTAAAAATGTGAAACCATTGACTTCTTAACTTTTAACTTTTAGCTACTATTAATCCTTAAGCAAAAAGGACTTAAAGTATGCCTCTTCAAAAAGAATACACGAACTGATGACGCTACTGAAAATGTGTTGACTATGGGGGAAAATATTAGTGAGTCAATGGGTTAAAGAAAAAAAGAAAACGGTCTTTAAAAAATAAGATAAGAAGATGGCCATTAAGAAAGAAAAAATGTAGTTTGACTTTTGTGCTTCAACAAAAATGATAAGCTAGTTCGTTATACCTGAAAAGCATAATTGCCTGCTAATATACCCTATATACACTTGTTTAAATTAAAATTAAAATTTATGCTTTTAATTATTGATATTGTTACCACAAAGTAAGTGCTATTGGAAGATTAGCATTTCTATTCCAATAGTAACGTATTCCTATTGGTCCATCTGTAACTGATTGCTCATTGATGGACAAGTAAGTGAAAGGACGTCAGCGTAAACTTCTCCATATAATGGCGCAACAAGACGCAAAAAGTTATTGCCTGTCCCAAATATTACCAGATCTAGCTTTATCCAGCAGACATTTCTCAAGTTCCTGTTCTTCTTTAAATAGTTAAATAAATTTAATTTTGATATTCATCACCCAGCTATTTGATTCTCTGAACTAACTCTTCCCGCTGAAGAATTGCTAATTTGGGTACGCCAAATTTTCTTTCAGCTTTTCTAACTCAGTTTGGTCACTTTTACGATCGCAACAGCTTCTTGCAGGTTCTTTAAAGGAGGATGCCTCTTTTTGTGTATCTCCCAGACATTTTTCTGCTACAGAAAGGCCCAAAAACATTAATTTTTAGTTAACATTAAACATGGTCATAACAAACTCATTACGGCGGAATGGCTCCCTATTCTGGTTTTAAAAAAATGGGTAATTATGACTTTATACGTTTAGGTAATAATAAAGACAGAAAATAATAATGAAGATTGGAGAAAAAAAAACACCATGGGCTTAGTTATAAATCGTTTTACCCGTATCGCAAAAAGCAGATTTGGTTCAAATCACTTTTAATCAACTTCGGACAAAACTGTTTTTCAAAGATGAGTACAATCTTTTAGAATTATTTGAATATTGCCTCAATATTGTTATTTAATAACTATTCTAAGGTTCTTGAAACAGAATATAATTTTGATAAAGCATATTTGCTTTAAATTTTTACACTGAATGAGTTTTTTAAAAATAGCGCTGATCACAATTTCCTCGTGGTTACAATTACCCTATACTAGACCCCAATAATTTTGATAATTATAATATATAATGAACATAGTAAATCATAAAATATAGCGATCATGACAATCTTTTGTAATCATAAAATTTAAAGCAATTTAAGTTCATTCGTCATTCATAGAAAACCCTTATCGTCGCGCACGCAAATTCACCCCAAAAACAATTTTTTCAAACAGTTTAAAAATTCCAATGCTTAATATTTATGCAATTAAGTCTATTGAAGTCTATTTTAGTGTTTTGAGTTAATGTAATTTGGATGGTGATTCAGTTTTGTTAAAATCTTGTGGCCTGTATGTATCTTGAGAAAATAAATATTTGGATCGAAATTAAGTAGCAAAATTGTAATGATCTAAAGAACTAAGAGGTTTAAATTTAAAAAATCGTAGATTTAATAGTTTATTTTGTTTTAAGCAATACCATAAAAATGAACACTGTTTAAAATTTTATCGCTCTGTATGCGTTATTTAAAAACTTGAGAGTGATTTTAAACAAAAAGACATTGACCTTGTCAGCAAAAACAAAATCTCAAAGTTCCTTTTCTTATTGATTTTTTTAACAAATTAAATGAACCTCTAATGATTTTGCGCGTGTATTTACATACTAGTTGAATCTCCAATGATTTTGTGCGTGGGTGTTTACTTATTAGTTGAATCTCTACAGATTTTTTTTTTGTATATATGTTTACTTATTAGTTGAATCTCTACAGATTTTTTTTGTGTATGTTTACTTATTAGTTGAATCTCTAAAGATTTTTTTTTGTGTATGTTTATTTATAAGTTGAATCTCTAAAGATTTCTTTGTGTGTGTGTTTACTTATTAGTTGAATCTCTAAAGATTTTTTTTGTGTGTGTTTACTTATTAGTTGAATCTCAAAGGAATTTTTTTTTGTGTTTACTTGTTAGTTGAATATCTAAAGATTTTTTTTATGTGTGTTTACTTATTAGTTGAATCTCTAAAGATTTTTTTGTGTTTACTTATTAAATGAATCTCTGAAGATTTTTTTTTTGTGTGTGTAGACTTATTAGTTAAATCTCAAATGTTTTTTTTTGTTTACTTATTAGTTGAATCTCAAATGATTTTCTTTTTATATTTACTTTTTTTGTTAAATCTCTTAAGATTTTTCTATGCGTGTGTGTGCGCACTGGTTATACCTCTAAGAATTTTTTTTGTGTTAGCATACTAGTAAAATCTCTAAGAATGTACTGAGGTTGGGCAAAAGTATGGAAACACTTCTCTAATAACTCTATGTAAAAAAAAAAAATCTTTCTTTTGATAGTAAATGTTTTGGAAAATTTTACATGGTGAAACGCTTGGCACAATTTAAAAGATCATACTAGAAGCTTATACAAATGATGTCTTATTTATCCAAGCAAAATTCGCATCCACAGAGAAGAGGTTAATAACATTCTTTCTAGTTTCAATACCAAAAGTTTTCGAAACTTTCTGTAGGATTGCAATTGGCATATTAGAATTCTTTTTTTAATTAATAATGGTATTGAAAAAGGAAGGAGGCTTTTAACTTTTTAAGCTTATTTTAGTCAATACAAAGTTTGCATGAGTAAACAAGACCCTATATCTAATAGCTTCAGACATGATCTTTTAAACTGTGCCTACAGTTGTCCGACCCCTGTAATTGTGTTTAAATACAAATTAAATCTCTAAGAATGTTTTTTTTTTCATACTAATTAAATGTCTAAGAATTTTTTTTGTTAATCTCTAAGGATTCTTTTTGTTTTCATACTAATTAAATCTTGAGGATTTTTTTCATACTAATTAAATCTCTAAGAATTTTTTTTTTGTTTTCATACTAATTAAATCTCTAAGGATTTTTTTTTGTTTTTGTTTTCATACTAATTAACTCTCTAAGGATTTTTATCTATCAAAAATAAAGCTTTAAAATAAATTTTTTCTGTGCTTTAAATAAGTAATTTATAAGTTAGCTTAAATTTTTATAGCGTGTTATGCCTGCTTGAACGATACTTTTGTTTTGTACATAAGCTATGCATAGAAAATGTTCAATTGGTAACATAGAGTATAAAAGTAAATCAATACACAGTTTTGTACTGGTAATCATTGTTATCACAAACCAGAAAAATAATAATAATAATATACAAAAAACATTAAATTCTGAAAAATGAGAAATTTGTTTACATATTTTTAAATTTATAAAAATATTAATATTTCCAATTTTCTTACAATAAATTATTAATTGTTAATTGAGTATGATTAGGGAGCTATAANAATTGTGAATTATGCGGGTTTCCGCATCTTCCGCATCTTCGCATAATTTATAGGGCCCTAAGTATGATTAGAAAGCATCCAAAAAAAATTTATCCTGTTTATTTAAAATAAATTGTCCTAAGAGTACCGTGTCCTCTTAAAATGTACTCATTTCTCAGTCGAGTAGTTGAGAAAGTGAAGAAGGGGGAGGGGAAGCGTTCAACTTGACTTACGCTCTAGAAAGAACTTAACAAAAACTGGTATTTCATAAAAAATAAATAAGTAAATAAATAAATAAAAATATTAAAGAAACATTTAATTAAAACTTTTTTATTTACTGTTTACAATTTCCATCTTTTTTTTTTGTATGCTATTCTTAAGCATGCCATTTATTTACTGTTTATTTTTAATCATGTTTGAATTGAAAACGATCAATTTGAAACAAGCATGCAAATAAAAATTCAAATTACAGTATTTTTTTGAGACAAATAAGGAAAATGTTTATTTTTGAATCTTTCAGATAAAACAGAAACTATGCGCGTCACTTCCCATGAGCGATTAGGAGAAGTTCTCAGAATATTGAGGAGTATTCTAGAAAAATACCCGCCGATACAATCGACTGAGTTGTTAATGACCGCCGGTACTCTAATTCAACAAGTGAAAGGTAAGATGTTTTCGTTTAATGCTCAGTTAATTGGATACCTGCGAGTGACGTCATTGTACGTAAATCATGGCATTTGTCGATTCAGAAGCCTATCTCACACACACGTGACGTCATTTTCGGGTATCCAATTAAATCTGATTTAAATCTCATGGTTAGGCATAATCACTTCACTTCTTCTTGAGTTGCAAGTACCCAATTGTTTCTTCAGTTCAATATTTGTACTGCTACCGTATTTAATCCACCCTCTATCTCCTTATGACGTAGGGGTGGTCGAAAAGTCTAAAATATTTTAGTGATACAGCGAGAAAAGTTGGTCATCTGCCATTAATATGAACCATGCAAAAGCTAATAATTCTGAATTGATATCTTCTGAGCTGACGTTACAATGGGTTGAAATTTGATTATATTAGGGGGACCGGAAAGTAATGTCGTTTCGGCACATTTAATATTCGTTAGCCAATCCATTTTTTTCGATCCGGCATTGAAAGTTTATTGCTAACAGGGATGAATACATTATTGACTAAAAATAAAATCTTGATAACAAATAGCAAATGCACCGAAACGACATTACTTTCCGGTCCCCCTGATAATTAGAGTAAAATTTAAAGAAAAAAGTTATAAAAACTCACAGGTATAATTGATTGGCTTATGATAATGTTTCAAAAAGAATATAGATACAAGAACAATGATTATCTATAGAAAATAAGAATATCTGTACAAAACTTAAGAATCATAACTTAATTTCTTATACTTATTACGAAGTAAAACTTCTGCTGCCTCAACGACGCCGAAGCTTTATATTGACCTATTGAAGATGCATGATATATCAATTCATAAAATTGAATTCTGTCACCCCAATAAACAGATCCAAACTTTACTGGCTTTGAGGTGGCAAAAGGTATTCAGTGATAATTATAAAATTTTGTACGGATATTCTTCTTAGGAAATAATAACTTTTAAGCGCTACTGTAAGCTGATCAACAGAATCTATATATTTTTTTCCACTTTTAACGTATTTAATCAAATTTTCATAACTTGTGGCTGAAGATATTATTATTATCAAATGCCAGTCGTAGGCCGCTACGCCAACAGACCAATATTTCTTTATTAGAGAAGATCAAGAGCACTCGTCCAGATGCAAAGTAAACATGTATAAAAGTAAATGTCTGTACAAGTACGTATCTAATGTACAAGTACATGTACATGTCAAGTAAATGTAAAAGTCTAAAAGTTGAAACTACAACCGCATAAGGTCAATCAGGAATAAGCTGTGGTTTAGAGAAGAGTACATTCTGAAGTATTACTATTTTAACTTGGAATTCCTAGCAATTTCAAATTTAGCTAAATGGAATCCTAAGTTCCAAGAAGGTTTCTGTGGAATCAAAGATTCCTTCTAGTCCTGGCAGTCAGCTTTCTTTTTCCTCGCAATGTCACAGTGGGAGTGAAGTCACTGGAAGTGAAATCATGGAGGGACTTTATTATGGAAATTCTCGAACAATTTCCTGCATCTCAAGCCAAGACAATTTTTGGTCTCCTTATTACAGGAAAGAACTTGTAGTGCGGAAATAGAGTCAAAAAAGATAACTGCTCTTTTAAAAAAAGTCTCGTGGAATGTAAAGTTGTTTAATTGTTACAAGAATCGACTGCAACTTCCCATCAAAATGAGTCGTGAAATTTTCCATCCTGGAGAACGCTCTGAAGAAAAGAACTGAAGGGGGGAAAACGCTCTGAAAGCAAAACGCACAAAGCACTGAAGAATCCATCTCCATCCTATACCCCCTAGAAGAGGAAAGGCCTCTGCACGAATCAATTTAGCAGTCGCAGTGAGGTAAAAATACGAAAGATGTCGCTACGTTCGGACTACTAAGGGATCGGATTTCTCGTTTATGGTAACCCGTGCGGGGGACTTCTATTTTCTAGGAGATGTTGCTCCAGCGCACTATGAAAAGTCACAAAACGAGCCATCTGTATAGACATGTAACCAGTGATCATCAGATTGATAATGGTTATGGATGGTCTCAAAAACGATTTGAGAAAAGAGATCTGAGCGATGATCTCTAAGTCAGATCCAGCCTTTCATCGAGTTCCATATAATGGAACGGGTATGGAGAGAAAAGCATGTGGTAAATTACTGATCGTCTGGAAACGTTCAACACCGCGGACACTTGCGACAGAAAATATCAACTCAGATATCGCATATTTCTTAATAATGGTGAGTGGCAACTTTTCCTCTCTACCCTAAAATGTTTAAAAACACCTTATGTTCCACTCTAAAATACCCCCCATCCTATTACTCAACTCTTTTCAAATTGGTTCTCTTTCAAGCGACGATTTTTCTTCTTTTTTTTTTCTTTTTTTTTTACGGACTCAAAAGTCATCTGGCAAAGAAAAGATTTCAAGAAGAAAAAAATTGAAAAAATATTTCTATATTAATTTACATATAGTCCCCTATTTAACATTAGTACATTATTACGTTAGTCCCCTACTTGAAATTATTCCAAAAAGTATTATTTTCAATAAAGACCGAATATATGACCACGTTAATTTCTAATAATCTAATACAACAAAAATGTAAAAAAAATTTTGTTCATCTTTCGTGATAAAATAAATTAATATCATGGGTAAAAGTCAAAAAGTAGTAATTACCGCAGTTTAAAAGAGTAGGTGACTCCAAAAAATCATTCTACTACTAAAACCTTTGTCAAAACTGCATGACGAAAAAAATACTTTGACAGAAAATTTATTCAAAAACTAATGTCCATATCAGATGATATAATGTCCTATCCACACTATCATGTTCATAACCTTTTCACTCTTCATAATGTTCTCAAAACATTTTTTTCTTTCCAAAATGTGCCAAAAACTGATGTTACCAATAGTTATCGCTTTTTATCACGTTTATACTATGTTAACATTGGCCAATAATTTCAATATCCAAATAAAATTTATCATTACCTACATTAACTATGGTTATGTATAATCTTCGCAATATTATCATTGTTAATATGTTGCAGACAATGATGGCGCGTTATTGTCTCATTCGATAATAATAATCATCAATAATGATCGTGATATTCTCGCATTTGATGTGTATTTTCGCGATGTTGAGGATTTTGGATATAGCTTTGGTCTATAATCTAGCTGGTACCAAATATAAACTAGATTTCAATGCTGTTCTAATGTATAGGTCATAGATATAAAGTTGATCCCCTGTATTAGCCCCTTGTGTAAGTGAACTTGGCATCAAGATACCCATGACCAATAAGTACCGTAGATTGCGTGCTGATTTCATCAAACTTTTGTGAAATTAAAAACATAATTAAATTATACATTTTAAGTTTAGTTACTAAATGCAATAACAAATAATAATATTTTTATAGGATACAATTATGAAGACGAGAAATCAGACCCTTCGAATTTTTTTGATGCAATTGACCAGCTGGCTCTGGCTTTCAGCAGCAGGTAGTACTTTTTGTTTATCACTTAAAAATCGCCATTTTATTAATAATTATCTTTTTATCAAAAAATAATGTGCCGTGTAACGAATATTTTCTAATAATGTCGAGTAAAATAATCGAGTCGAATAAAATGTCAAATGAGTTAAAACTTTATCAAAAAGCTTATAGATGGCAGCACTACCGATATTAGTAAAAATTATATCCTTAAAACAACAATGTAGACACGCAATTTTTTAATAATACAACACAAATGATATAAACATGCGTTAATTTTTAAGCACATTTTATTATTTTTAAACAGAAAATTGATTTAAATTGTTGATCTCTCAAAAATAATTTTAGATATATATTTATTTATTTAAATTAAAATTATCATTATGAATTGTTCAAATAATTATAAATTGAATTAAAAACAGATTAACTTTGACCTAAAGTTATTCAATTCACCATATTTTATCAATAAAAAGCGGATTTATATTTCAAATAAAATTTATTTCTTATAATAAATTTTCTTATAATTTATTTCTTATGGTAAATTATAAATAAAATTCGATTTTTTAGCTCATTCAATTGGAGTGAAAAAAAATTGATAAAAAATATTTTCTAATAACAGTCTTTAAACACATATTTTAGACACATAAATTATAATAATTCTCTTTTACGGAACATTATGAAATGATAAATAAAGCGAAATGTCTTCATCATTTCTTTTTATTTATTTATTTTGTGCTTTTTTGGTTAGCTGTAGATGGAAATGAAATTTAATTTATCATGACTACTTCAAAGTGTGTTATTAAAGATGATAAGCATTTCATTCTTTACAACTAAAAATACTATCTTGTGTTATTGACATTTTTTTTCTTTATTTGATAAATCAATCCACTGGGCTTAGAAATTATATTTTAGTTTTCATTCCAACCTAAAAATATAGGCTAAAAATCCTTTTTTTTTCTTTCTCTTTTTTCAATTTTATTACATTTTAGTTCTTATCTATTCCCCGCTCACACAAATTTATACTCTTAACAAACTCTAGTTATTCAAAGCAGGAATATGTCTTGTATATATTAATGTTCACCTGCAATAAACAGCATATACATCTCATAATATTTTTAATGGATACAAAAATTTATATTATTTAAAAAATAAAAGCAGTAAACTATGTTTTGTTTTTTCATACATTCAGTTTTATTTTTAGAATTATTATTTAATTGTGTATTTAGAAAGTGAGCGTTAGCGAAGATTAGCTTGATGTAACTGGAAAGAGGTTATTTGTAATTAAGCACAAGATGTGTTATTCTTTTGTTATGTATCTGTAAATAACCATGGAAGAATATTTTATTTTATAACCGTCGTTGAACAGCAGACGCTCCCTTGCCGTCAGTTTAAGCGTGAGAGGTTTTCGTGGTTTTCCTCAACATGTAACGCAAATGCGGGTTAGTTCTATAAAAAAGTCTTTCACGAGGGCAAATTTCTCACAATACTTCAACCAGGAGTCCCCTGGTCCTCTGGATTGGGTTCAAAATTACAAGGCTACGGAGTTGAACTTTAGTAGACGTAAATTCAAAATTGGGTCTGCTGTTCAATGACTGTTATAAAATTAAATAATAAAATTAAATGGTTTTAGCCATTTTACTCATGTTACACGTATACTTGTTAAAACTACGACGTACAAGTGCATTTTATCACCTGCTTTCTCCACGTCTCGCTTTCATCTACACGTTTGTCGATAAAGTGAACTAAAATGGTGTGATCAATTGGTTTTAATAACTTTATCAAATGATCCAGTTATTCCAGTAGCACCACTACTCGCTAAAACTGAGACGCACAAGGTGCATTTTATCACCTGCTTTCTCCACGTCTCGCTTTTATATAAACGTTTGTAGATAAAGTGCACTAAAATTGTGTGATCAATTGGTTTTAATAATTTTATCAAATGATTCAGTTATTCCAGTTAAATTTTTTCCAGTAGCACCACTACTCGCTAAAACTGTGACGCACAAGGTGCATTTTATCACCTGATTTCTCCACGTCTCGCTTTTATCTACACGTTTGTAGATAAAATGCACTAAAATTGTGTGATCAATTGGTTTTAATAATTTTATCAAATGATCCAGTTATTCCAGTTAAATTTTATTCCAGTAGCACCACTACTCACTAAAACTGCGACGCACAGGGTGCATTTTATCACCTGATTTCTCCATGTGCGGGTCTCACCATCAATAGCAATTGCTTTTTTAAAAAATATGAACAGATATTCAATAATTGACCTTGACAATGTCGTTAATTATCGTTCAGCCACCTTCATTATGTGATGTAACAATACATTTTGTCCGCCTCGTATTCAAAGTGAAAAGCCAGGCGTGCGGAAAAACGAAAAAAATTACAGACTGCTTCCCAAACAACCCACCTTTTCAATAGTTTAAAAGAAAAACCTGCCCATCCACACTCGCGTATTGTCTTTTGAGTGAACCGTTCGTAAAAGCCTCAACTAACCGCCATGCCGTCTGTAAGCATCCTTATACACAAATGGAAAAGAAGAAAGAAAAACCACATCCTCCAAAACCTTGCTCATGGCATTCCTCTAAGAAGAATCACTAGACGCGATTACTTAGAATGATGGGGAGGGTATGAATTGCATCAACACCAAGAAATTAGGAGTTGCCGCTAGCCTTAGGTAGGCAATAACCTAAATACCAGATTCCCTTTCTTTAAGGTTCTGTCTTTACCTTTTTAGTTTAATAAGAAGATATTTAAGATGCGTTTTTTTTCCTTCCAGTACGGGATCACATCGTAGTGGTCAAAGTTCGGATATCTGACCTCTTTTAATCTTGTTAACATTTTTATTCCATTTTTTGTATTCTTTCTCGGGGAACTTATTTGCATGCGTTGACGCTATGAGAAATAAGTATGTCTAGTATAATTCGACTTTTATGATTAGGAATAGAAGCTGTAGTATTTATTCGATGGAACTATATTTGTCGATTGCTGAGTAATTATTTAGAAATTAACCGCTAATTAATAGTTGTTCTTGCTGAAATGTAATTTAGTTTTTTTTATAAATAAAATATGCAGAGAATTCACAATTTTTTATTTTATTTTTATACCTGGAAGTTGTGTCAAATAACTTTATTTTATTGTCATTTTATTACATATTTTATTGCCATTGACATAAAAAGATCTGCAATCCATTTCTGAGTAATGGAACAGTGAATTATGATCTAAAATATTTTATTTAAAAAGGATACTTGTTATATTGATTTGCAGACCTGTATAATTTACGCGAAAGCGCGAATGCCGTTTCTGGAAAATTTTTCACCATAGCGAAACATTTTTAGTATTACTAAAAAGAAGAATAAAATTACAGAAGTAAATGCTATACTAAATTAATTAAATTATAAGAAGATTTTTATTTAAATAATATTAACAATTTTATTTTCAAAGAATCAAAATACACATATTTTGACTAGTTGTCCTAGAATTTATAAAACCAGTACTTTTAACTTTATATATTTATTGTAATTTCTGTATTGGCGTAAAATTTAAATCACTGCACAGTGGCTGTATTGCAAAAGCTGAACATTTAATAGAAAAAACTCCAAAAAGAATGCACTTACAATAACTCACAACCACTTAATTTCTATGTGAAATTAACTTTTGTAATTGAAAAAAAAACATATATTTTTAACGTTAAACTCAATATGATGTAAAAAAAAAAATTCCAAACATATTGTAGCTGTCAAAATGGTTAAAAAATTATTTAAAAATTGCAAACATCGGAAACATAAAAATAATTGTTTTTTGTTCTTGCAATAAAAAAAACCATTCTGTTATTCATTGCTATGTCTTACTTATATGAGTACAATTTATTTTAATTTGTTATGTTTAAAATAAATTTAATTAAAACAAAATTTATTTTTCTTAAATTTTCTATTTTGTTATGACACAAACGGCAAATGCAAGATAATATATATTTATATATATATATACATATACAGTGTAGCCTAATCTCCCAATTCGCACAGCAGTTGTAGTGTGATATTTACCCTTCGTATGTTACAATGTTTGCGCATGAAAAAACATCGAAGAGGAAAGATATATAAGTAAGTAAACGTTAAAGTTTGAAAAATATATTTTATTTAATCATCTAGTGAACAATTTTAGTAAATTTTCCTCTCAGTAAATGAAACAACTTCTAATTATCGATCAAGCTTATAAATATCTCTACGTGTCTACAATGTTGTATCTCCATTTTATCTGCTGTGTAGTTTATTAGTTCATTCAACATCAGGTTGTAAAATATTCATTTACAACAGTTATTTTAAAGTGTTTAAAAGAAAATAAAAAATTTATAAAGAAAATCTGAACTAATAAATGTATGCAAACATAGAAAATGAAAGGTTAGCAAAAATATTGACTGAAATTAGCTTTACTTGTATTATTAAAAAATTTATATCCTTTTTCCACCTACTTATAAGTTAATAAAATAATTCATAATATTGGATTATGAATTATTTTATTAACTTATTGATTATTTATTAGCTTTACTTGTATTATTAAAAAAACTTAAATATTATTTTTCCACCAACTTCTAAGTTAAAAAAATAGTTCATAATATTAGATATATTAACTTTATTTGTATTATTTAAAAAACTTATATATTATTTTCCCACCGACTTTCTAAGTTAATAAGATAATTCATAAAATTGGGTATTGTGTAAATTAGCTTTGCTTGTAAGATATAAAAAAAACTTATATCCTTTTTCACAAACTTCTAAGTTAATAAAATAATTCATAATATTGGGTGAAACTATAAGTCTTATTTCTTAGTTGTATTCGATCTAATATCGATCTTTTATTGCCGAACAAAATTGGAAAAAAAATTTCACGAAAATTTTATGGTTATTGATTTTTGTTTCAGAAGGATAACGTTAGGAATAATTGTAATAAACTATTACGAAATGTAATAAATGAAAGTAAAAACAAATTTGAATATCCAAAGAAAGA